TATGGCAACTCATTACCTAGACAACATGTTTGATGAAGTAAATGAAAATCAAACATCCTCTCCACCAGCTGTTGCCTCACTTTTTTTTTTTTTTTTTTTTCTTTTTTTGTCAGGACATTAGAATTGTTGTTATGAGTATCAGTGGCTTTCCTGGTTTCAGCCTCTTTTGGGGAGAAGCTGTTAACAGACAATACTTGCAGCAGCAACCCTGAGCCTGGATGCTTTTTCCTGGAGAGGACATTTCCATCAGAGTTCATACCACCTCATTTTGGGCACTGAACCGGGACATGTGACAGCTCCAGTAAGCACCTGAGGAAGGAACAGAGGAGAAGGCAGGAAGAAAGCTGGTACAAGGTGTCCTGCACCAGCATGGAAGGAGAAGCATTTTGGTCTGTAAATGCCAATAACTTACAGTATTGAATCCTTGTGTGCCTAAGGAGGAGGAAATATCAAAGAATCAGCCCAATCACCCCCTCCTCCAACCCTGGCTAATGCAGAGCTCTTCTGTGCACATCATCCTGGAGGCACCCAGGGCCCCTCCCCAAATCCAGCTGTGCTTCAGCCCTCAGCTTGCTCTGGAGTTCAGCTCTCCAAAGCTCCACCAGGAAAGCAGGGACAGTGCTTCACCATGTCTTCACTGTTTGCACACACAGTCCTTGCTAAATCACAGCAAAACGGGGGAGAAATCCATACCAGCGTGCACTGAACACAGACAGCTTGATTCAAGATGCACAGAGAAAAACACACGAGGGGAAAACAAGATTAATCTTACTTTGTCTGGATAGTGCCTTACTTTGCAGGGGTACCAGCCCCACTGGGAGCCAGGAGCCCCAGCTGATGGGAACTGGCAGAGCTCCAGGGCTTTCCAGTGAAGCCAAGCCAATGTAAAGACAGCTGCAGACTGGGTCCAAAATACGAAGCCACAATAAAGGTTCCTTTAAATTATTGCAGACATATTCACTTCTGGCTCCCATGACTGCTTTTACAGCTCTCTCTCTCTCCATTCAAAGCATCATCACCCACTCTTCAAGCAGAATTATTTTACTTTTCAATTGGACTTTGACTCAACAGCAAATTTAATTAACTGACCTAATGGACTAGAGATGGGGATTAGAAGAGAAAAGAAATAAAAAACAATTCCAAACAAAACACACAACAGAAAGAATCACCACTGCAGCAAAAAGAACCCCAAAGCTCCTAAGTTAAAAAAACAACAAAACTACACCCCTGCTATGCAGAGATGCAAAATAGAGCTCCTTACACTGCAAGATACCCAAACTTTCAAGCATTTGTTCTCGATTATCTTTCAAGAGAGGATCCCAAAGCCCTTCATGAGTCCTTAAGCTGCACAAAACTGCAAGGTTCCAAGAAGGAGCTCTGTGGGGAACACCACAACCCCCTCCCCAGAACTTCAGAAACTCATTTCAGCAGAACCCCACAGATGCATACAGGAATAAACTGGTGCTGCACTCCCTGCTGGGGACACACCTCCACCAACATCAGGAGCAAATCTGTCACTTGGATGAGGACTGAAGGTGGCTCAGCATCTTCACCACACCCTGGCCCCTGATCCCGAGGTGCTCATGGCAGGCACTGACCCAGCAGAAGGCTGTCCACACAAAAACATCACCAGCAGCCCTGGCTCCAGCTCTCTGTTGGCTACACCAACCACAATCTCACTCAGAGTGTCCCAGGCACAGCAGGAGCAGCAGCCCAGGGACATGCCCGTGCTGCTCCTCACCCTTCAGTCCAAGAGTGCCCAGGGGAACCCGGCTCCACTGCTCCTCCCAAAGCTCTGCACGTTCCTTCCCAGCTTTGGAGCTGCTGGGGACATTTCTGGCCTGGGATTATTTATTGCAACATTCAAGGCAATATGTCACTTAGAAAATGAAGCCTCACTTAGGAGGCTCGGCGCTGAAATCCGATTGCATGACATAGGATGATGAATCAGCCAACTTCCCATTGGCTCGTTTGGGAATACACCCCTTTGCACAGGAAAAAAATACTCAGAGATCCACTCATTAATCCTAACTTCATTCACTGTGGCGAGGAGCAGAGTGCTCCCCTCACCCTCCCAACTGCAGAGAGCTGCTACTCTGCCTTTTCTACTTCCAGCAGGAAAAGGGAAAAACAAAAGATTCAGTCATTCACACCTGTCACAGGATCACCTGATGGAAGCTTCCAAGAACAAATTCACCACTGCACATGCAAGGTACAGTCAGGGTGACATGCAAGCAAAGCAGTGATTAATTATATGTGTTTTGCTGAGGAAATTTCTGAGCATGAAGGGCAAAATTTAAATTGTTAATCAGCATCGCTTTTTGTTATAACATGTTTGAAAACAAACTAATGGGTTGCAATAGCTCCTTGAACCAGCTTTGACATCTGTATCTTCCATGTAAAAAGTAAAATGAAAAAATACTTCAAAATACATCCTTTCAGAAGCAGATTCTCTTCATCAAAAGAAATAGTGGGTAATGCGTGGAAAGTTGTAAAAAAAAGTGTTTGTGAAGCATGAGAGCCCAAAGTGGCAAAAGAGTGTGGGCCCCACTACCCAGCCCCTCTGATCCTTCAGAGGGCAAGAAAGTCTGACCCTGCTCCTGATGGTGCCTGAGCTCCACAGCTCCATAGTGGGAGTGAAGTCCTGGCATGGGAGGGAACCCCACCCTTCCCAGGGCTCCCTGCAGCCCTGCTCCAGACTTTTATGGTGGGGAAAGGCAGAGAATGCCACCAGCCTCAGCAGGTCCCTGGCCTGGGACTGCAGCCCAGCCAGAGCATCCCTGTGCTCTGCCACTCCTGCTCACAGCACCAAGGCTCTACTGCCTGTCTTCATGCCCCGAGAACAAATACAGGAGGTTCAGGAACTGTTCAAAAATAAAACTTCCAATCACAGCCAGGCATCTCCAGTGCTGACAAAGCTCTCAAGTGAGGTCAGCTCAGAGCCTGCTTGTCCAGGCTCTGTGGTCTGGGTCCATCTCAGCTGTGCCATGCAGGGCTTGGCACTGAGTCCCAGCCCTTTGGGAACAAAGGCATGAGCAAGCCCTGCTCACAGAACAGCTGAGGTCAATGTGGAACCTTTAGGTGCATCCTCTCACCAGCAAACCACAGCAAGTACCAGAAGCTATTCTGCCAATGCCTGGGCTCTGTGCTTGTTCACTACTACCCTCTCATTCTTCTCAGGTCTGACTTTATACCCAGGTTGGGGGGCCACTGAGAAGGGCAATTAATGCTCCTCCTCTTCCTCTGCACAGAAGCATTTCAAATGGGACCAATAAAGCACAGGACTGACTCCCAGCCAGATCCAAGGGTTGGGTGGCAATGCTGGGGACAGCTTCTGCAGAGGACAGAGTGCTAATGAAGCTCCCCAGGAGACCTCAGTGATGGGCACCCCTTGTAGGGTGGGACAAGCATCCTCCTGCACACCCACAACTGCTGCTTTGTTCACCTCAGAGCAACCACGACCCTGCCAAGCCAATACCACCACCACAATTACCTGTGAACACCAGGCTGGCATTCTCCAGCTCTTCCTGGGGAACCTTGAAGCTGAAGGACTCATTGTAGAAGGGATCTATTGTGCCCCGCATGCAGGAGGTCTTCTTGGTTTTTGTTAATTTTAATCCGTGAACAAGCTGGATTTTCACAAAGGGATCTGGCAAAAAGCACAAACTCTGTGTTACAGGGATCATAAGTCAGCACCCCTGCTCACGAGGGCTGTGCTGGGCAATGGCCTTTGGAAACTGCAGGGATTTGTACCCACACACTGCTCCCAGAGATTTGCAGTGGGGACAAAAGTCAGGCAGCCAGATTAAAAACAGTCCCTGCCAAAACCACAGTTAATGTCAGCCTTGACAGAGACCAAGCATAATGTTCTTTGTGGAAAATGCCAATATTGTGGCAGCAGCAGAGGCTGAGGCAGGAACATGGGAAAGCCACCTGAGGACATAAAGCAGTTCCCAGCCAGAGTGCCCAGAGGCAGCAGGGAGCAATGCCCACGGGCTGCCTTACAGAACACAGCACAGGGAATCAAAGCTCCTGGCTCCTCACCTCAGCCTGGCTCAGACATCTTTAAATTTAGCAAACCCTCCATTGTATCTCAGGGTAAGTGTTCCAAATACTTTCATTTCTGTTGTCTATATATACAAGACAGACATCCAGAGCCTTGTATTAACAGGAACTGAGCATCAAATCCCCCTGGGTCCCCACGAATTGCAGCTTCACTGATCTGCTTTAAAGGCACATATAATCTGTGCATGAGTAATGTGAGAAATGCACTGCCCTTTACCTGAACCTTGGCTCATATCTGTCTGAAGAAGCTGTTTTGCTCTAATGATGTCCACGTTCAGTCTTCCTGCACTTGGTAGGTAGTTTAGTGACAGTAGCAGCTCTCCCAGCTCCACTTCATTCTGCAGGGAAAAGAGAATGTGGAGATTTAGAACAGAGCTCAGAAGGGAAGAGAAGGGAGAGAAATTAAATAAATCCCATTTGTCTAAGTGCCTGAAAAATGAATTTTAGTCACGCTCTGAACTGCAACCAAGAACCATCTGGTGGTACCTCGTGTTAAGCAGAAACAAGAAACCATCCCCAGATGAAGATCTCTCTGTAATCACCAATCCTTCAGCAGCCTCCCAGCAGCCATGCAAAGAGGATCTATAAGGAGGCAGGGCCACAAGGTCAGTAACCTCCACCTGCTCCATTTTTAATGGTTCCAAGTAGTTGTGGTCTCACCAATGTGCAGAACACAGACCCACTGGAGAAGACACCCTCTTTCCTCCCCAGCCACTTGGGAAGCTCAGACATGCAGTGGTCAAAGCATCCCTGGCTCACAGCAAGGCAGCTCAGAGGAGACAACCCTTGGCATCTACCAGAGACCATGGCACAGCCTGCACCATGGCCACAGCTCCACATCAGTACAGCTCTGCAGCCACCATTTCTTTTCCTTTTATTTTACAATGTTTAAAACTAGCAATTAAAGAGCTCCAAAGCTCACATCACTGCTCCTCAGATGTGAGGGTTTAAAATAATCTCTCCCCCCTTGCCATGACCTGGCTCTGAGAGGCTCTTACTGTCAGATGCAAAATACACACACTGAAACAACTCTGGAGACTGGAAACACACCAGCCAGTCCAGGCAGGGAATTGATCCATCTGCCTAGTGCCAGGTGCACGCAGGGGTGCAGAGCTAGTGCTTCATCCCAAACAGTCAAACAGTCCAAAACCAACCCAGATCAGGTGTCAGAGCCCATTCCCAAGAGGAAAAGGAGCTGCAGTGATATTGCAATCATAACAGAAGGCTTAAATATCTTTACTGATGCCCCAAATATTAGATTACAGAAACCAGAGACTATGGGTAGACAGTAAAGTAAAAGGCTCTCAGAACAGTCACAGCCTGCACTGACCCAAAGAAGCAGGCTCATCAGCAGATGGGCCAGCACACCAGGCACAGTCCCTGGCCAAGACATCAGTGGCTCGGGGAAACTGAGGCTGGGGCTGCTGGAAAACCCAACCAGGAATAGCAACTGATTTCTTAATTCAAATTCCTTTTGTCACAGCATCTTGTGGGTCACATTATGGGGCAGGATTGTGACTCCAGAGCACACACACTCACATTTACCACATGCATTTTCTTCTGTTGCAGCAGTGTTTCTGCCTCACCCAGAAGGCACCTCTCTTCCATCAACCTGGGCCAGCTCCCACATCACATTGCTGCTCAATATAGGATGTTTTAAGTTCTTTCCATCAGAAAGTCACTCCCCAACACAAGCCTGACCCGATATGCACACAATACTCACAACTCTACATACACCTGTGTGTGGTGCCCTGTGGTTACACAGTGTAAGGATCCAAGATGGTCTAAACACCATCTAATTGATTTAAACTACCATCTTTCATTTGATTTTGCCCAAAAATGCTTCTCCCAGGCCTGTGGCTGGAACAGCCTGCAGACACGTTTATCATCAAGAACAGTCAGTGATTTTTAATCCTATTAGCAGGACAGGATGAAAGCATCACAGTGCCCACAACACCACCCTCAACAGGAGCCACACGAGGCAGCTCCACCCCAGTTCATTTTTTATAACACATAAACAACATTTTTAGCAGACACAGTCCTACTTCCACTTGCATTCACTGCTGGTCTGGTTCCATTCAGGCTTAAATTCCTAGAAATTCAGGTGCATTTGGACAGTGCAAATTAGGAAACTGATCAGTGATTTTATTACCTGCTGGGGAGAGACAAACAGCTCCAGCTGCAAATACCAAACTTCTGGCACAGCCAGGTGGCAGGCTGGCATGGGGCAGTGATGCAGGACCTTTCCAGTCACCTCAGGCTTAGAGTGCTGAAAATCTGCATTAAGATTCGGGATAATTACTTGTGGAGTTGTCTGTTGATGGAATCTGCTGACCTTATCCAAGAACTGCAGAAAATAAAGCATTTCCCTGGGCCAGAGAGGAGCCATGGATCTCAGCAAACGAAGGCAGATCTCCATGCTTCCAATTCTTGTATTTATGATAAATTTACCAGAAAAAAAGCCCAATGTTGTACACTGACAGTGTCAGGCTGGATCTGTGGCACCCACTTAGGCACTGGCAGGAGAACCAGGTCCCATCACCCCACTCTCACCAGAGATTATGGAAGGAGCCACTACAATGCAACCATCACACTGCTGCCCAACCCACCCAGCCTTCCACAAGTAAAGGCAGGACTTAATTTTCTGTAGGACCTAACCTAACAGAGATTTCAGCACCTCTAGAAAAATCTTTTTGGCCATCTAGGCTTAAATTTGCATAAGGAGAGATATAAAATGCCATATTCTCTTAAGTGTGATCCATCAAAGACAGCATGTAGACTATGAGTAGCTTTAATCAGTCTCAGAAAAGCCTGATCTCACAAATCTCAGCAGCACCTTCTGTCACCTCATGCTTTTCAAGAGTGCCCACATTTGTGCAAATTATTTTGAGGGAAGGCACATAGATCTCTGCCCCAAAAGCCATGGCAGGATGCTCAGAGCCAGGGAAGAGCAGCCCCACTGCAGGCAGACACCAGCAGCATTTGCAGCAGTACCAGGAGGTGTTTCCAGAAGGAAGCCCAGATTCCCTGACAGCTCACCTCCCGGACAAGTGACTCAGCCTTTTCAAGGCACTGAATGCCAGCAGCCAGCTGCCTCTGATGTTATAAATGCATTACTTCCAGCTTAGCCACCAGGATCAGGGAAACACACTTGGTGCCTCAGGGGATGTCAAACACCCAGGAAAATGAACCAGGGGCTGGCAGTGACCCAGGCTGGCACTGCCCCACCGTGCCCTGCCGCACCACGCTCACCAGCTTGTCCTGTGCCATAATTAACAAACCTGCCGTAATTAACAAACAAGCAAAGAATTCAGGGGGTGCTCCAAGAAGCAGGAGGCACAAGGCAGGTTTCAGCTCCCTGTGTTTCCCCAACAAGCTCGTGCCATGGCTCCCTTAGCTGCTGTGACAGTCCTGCTCACCCACAGCTTGGAACCACTCGGTGCTGCCAGAACCAGGGACCCCAGCCCAGCCTCCAGAGGCATCTGGGGACACGGAACATCACCCTTGTGTCTGCCACGGGGACACCCCCGGAGCTCGGGCTGAGCTGAGCACAGGGGATGTGAGCTCATGCACAGGAGGTGCCTTTGGCACACTGCTCACCAGAGGAGATTTTACATTTCCTAGGTCTTTCCATCAGGAAACACAGCGCTGTTGGTTTTGCCTTCAATGTTTTGCTCCCCAGGCAGTGCACAGAGGTGCCCCTCAGCACAGCATCATTTCAGTGCCATTATTATGCTGATGACGAGCTGATTCGTGCCCAGATCCCAGATGACCCTGGAAAAGCAATTTCCTGTTTGATGAGATGCCGGAGTGACACCAAGTCTGGGATGTCTGAGACTCTCCTGAAGCTCTGATTAACATTTCACTCCCGGCTGAATTACACTGCCAGGTTGGATTTGCAGCCTTGGCTTGCCTGTGATCCAGAACCTTCTCCAGTTACTGCCTGGGCTGGACCCAGAAGTTTTGAACCAGAATTTTTTTTGTTCCTTTCTGTCATCTCTGAAACACAAAGAGGCTCCCCCAAAGGAAGATGAGCTTCTAATTTATGCCACTCACACATCTTGTTTGGACCAGGAAACTCCTTCCTCACAACCCCCAGACTGTTCCTTCAAAAACCAGCAAAATTCTGCAGCTGAAACCCTTCCCAACAGGAACCAGAGCACATGACATCAGCACTGACATCTATGCATCGCTCCTAATGAAGTTTCAGATTGATTTTCCTCCTCAAGGTTATCTGTGTTGGTACCTCCAGGCACATCAGAAAACTGATGGTTTAGAATAGTTTGCTCTAAACAGGTTTTCTACAGTGTCCTGTGACATAGCATTGTTTTCTGAAGATTGAGCTATTAAGGACCAGAACCTGAGAAAAAATATACTTACCAATGAATAAAAGGAGTGTTTCCTACATAACTGACACCAACGGGATGTATGATGAAGTCACAAAATCCCTTCTAAAGTCAAACTGTCTTTGCATCAGTTTGAAAGGCCGTGACAAAGCCTCTATTGTGCACAAAGCTTTGTGAAGAAGATATCCTATGGAGAGGTCCTGCTCCTGGACCCCACCAGCCTCTCCTCTGGGTTCCTCCTCCTCAAAATACACCCCACAGCATCCCAGTTCTCTGCAGGAAGGGCAAGGAGTGAACAGCACTGAGGGAAAAGGATGAGGTGACCAAGAAGACAGATAAAGATAAAAAGAGAATAGTCAAGAAGAAAAATATTTTGGTGCTGGAGCTTTAAAGACTCAAAAAGGAAAGGGGAAAAAAAACAACACTGAAATGGAACTGAGATAAAACAAACATACAGAGTGAAATAAAATAAGATAGTAGAACAACACAAGCCAGAATATGAAAACAAAGAGCTAAAATGTTGTTATCATGATGGACAAGCATCCATGACAGATCCCATCACAGTTCTAACTCCAGTGACCAGCAGGGTGGGGGGTATCCTGCCCTCTGCCAGGCTTTGCCCAGGGCATCTCCTCCACTGGCCACAGGTAAACTCCCAGGGTGATTTTAACACCCAGCTGATGAGCAAACATGGCCCCAAATAACCACCTCATACCATCTTCAACATCAGAACTCACAGGTCATTCTAGTGCACTCATAGTATGAAGTTTTAAAAGCAAGTCCAACACACACTCCCTCAACTATAAAAACGGCTTCATTTGAGGGAAGAAGGAATTTCATGCTATTTTCCCACCACAACTAGGCAATTTTTTTTCTTTTGCAGAATGATCTCCAAGCTCTCATTACTGCTGGTCTAAAACATTTATGCCTGCCCACTCAAATCTGCCAAAAGAGAAATGAATCATATGTCAATAAAACTTGGGGTCCTGAACATGTGCCTCAGTATTAGTTTTAGTGGCGAAATATGTGAATCTGAGCCCTGCTACAGCGTGGGCCTGCCAGCTTCATTCATGGTAATTAAGCAAAGCCACACACATTTCAGGGGATATTTAAGGAGTGCAGAGTGTTCCTATGGGGACTGGACTCAAGGGCCTTTCCATGAGCAGCTACTGTGCTTTAGAAAGGCATTAATTACCCTGCAAGAGGAAAAACCTCCCAGAACGAGCGAGGATAAAGAATTTGGCAATACCTGCACTGACATTTTCCACAAGGAATAAGGAATAAATCCTTCTGCTTAGCTGCTGCTCTGAGGATGCATGGGGCAGCATCTCCCCCGTGCCTCCCCTTTGGGCTCCTTCCCCCCAAACCCCGACTGTGTGATCCGAGCTCAGAGTGCCCGTGTGCAGGCACAGCCTCCTGCCCGAGCCTTGGCACGGAGCAGTTCACAGCTCTGGTCTCTCGGGCTGAGAGGAGAGCCTGCTGCTCAGCTGTGCTCGGGCTCCTGGCCACCCATCGTGACAGTGAGCAGGACAGTGCTGCAGTCACCTCCTCACACCGAGGAAAGTGCTCTGCTCGTTCACTCACAGCTGGTGATGGAGAAATTCCTCTGTGCATCCCATCCACAGACCTAAAGGAGCTGATCTTGGTCCAGCTCCCAGTGGAGCCAACAAAGCTGTTGGCTGTAGAAGCTGGACCCTGCCTCTCCTGGGAGAAGCTCACTGTCCCTGCTGACCCTGCACACACCAAAAGATTCCTGGCTTTCCCACCTTTTGTAGCTCCCAGATGCTGGCATAGCCCTGCAGCAAGGCAGCGTTCCAGCTCTGGGATGAGGGAACTCAGTGTGATGGTGGCACCTGACTTCATCAGCACACTCTGTGTCAATGGCTTCCAGGTGGAGACAGCAAGTGCAGAACAGATATTCATCTTAGCTCATGTCATCTGGCCACTTTCTCTGCTCTTTCACAATGCCTGCCATCCTCCCACTCCCACCAGTATGAAGAGAAAACTTCTCCACAGCTCCTGCCATCTGGATTCACTTTCCTCCATCTCTCTCCAGCTCATGATGTTTCTGTCTATAAATTCCAGGTTAAAAAAAAAAAAAATCACATATTTTGTGTCTTTCGTCTTCACATATCATGTCTATGACTGTCTGTGTTTCTCTCCCTCCTGTTACTGCTTTTCCAAGCACCTGCTTCAGCCTTTTCTTCTGTGGCTGTGGGGGTGCTGCCACTGCTGCTCCGTGTCACAGCCCCAGGGCAGCCAACCCAGACTGGCAAATTAACCATCACACCTGCACCACAGCAGTTTGTGGTGCTCTCCAGGATCCAAGGACACCTCCTGCAAAATAAAATGCAACTGCACATAGATTTTTTCTTTTTTTTGTCCCTGTCTATCACCATCTCTCAACACAAAGCATTCCTCATCAGGCTCAGGTTCAATCCAAGAAGAAACTGATAAAGGCTCTGTCCCTCAGCTAATCAAACAAGAAAGTGAGAAGTAGAAAAAAAAATTGTCAACACGTCAAATCTATCATTCCACAGGCAGAAGGTTCCAGCTAGTATTAAAAAAATCCTCAGAAATTTCTAGCACAAACATCATTGTTATCAAAAGACATTAAAATTTATTTTTTCAAAGCAAAAAGCTTTATTGTTTTACTTCTTCCAGGATTTATCTTAACCCCTTGATCAATTAATTTAATCACCACTAGGATGAAACATGCCTTACTCAATGAACTTTAAAAATTTTATCATTGAGAAAATATGGGAAGATGATGCCAAACATCATCTCTGGATGTGCTGTACAAGCACTGTTGTTCCCTTTACAGTTGCACTCTGCCAGCTGAGGTAAAAGCAGCAAAAAGGTATGAAAGGACCACTTTACTGATCAAAGTGTGGAGGAATTTTTGCCTAAGTTTTTCCATATGATAGCAAGGGGATAAATGCAAAAGGCTTTTAAGCCTGCATATTCAAATGGAATTTTGTCTTTCTCCATCCTTTTATAAATATCAGAAATGCCAACTTCTGCATAAATAATTTATCTTGAATGCTGGTGAAGCAGACAGCACTGCTGAAAACAGCAGCAGCTTTCAATGAAACTTTGGAGAGGGGGAAAGGAAGAGCTGGCTCCAAGCTTGGCACATGAAGGCAGAGATGATCTTTTCTAATCAAGGTCTGTATTAGCTGTGGAATGAGTCCATGTTACTCAAAGAGATGCAAAATACAGAGAAGTATTTATCACAAAAAAGCTGGGAGGGGGGGAGAAGCAAAACTGCATGGTGGGAATGACAGGAGGATAATGGGATGCAAAGACATGCCCTACATAAGCACACGTTTAGGGACCCCATGATTTTGACTTGTGCACAACTTCCAAAACTTTCTTGCCTGAACATCATTCAAGCCAATCCCACAACACTCCTGTTCTGTTACAGGAGACCCAGCTGGCTCTCCTGCATTACCTGGTGCCCTGATCTTCCTCCCCTTGATACAGTGCAGCAGGTCCGGGCAAGAGAAGAAAGTTCTGCACTCACAGAGGGGGCAAAGCAGAGTCACAGCCCCAGCTGGCTGCACTTCCAGACACTGCTTGGGGTATTGCCCTTCCACAAGTGTCTGATCAGAAGTTTCCACTCCAAATCAGACTCTTGAACCCACAAGGTAAAACAGGTGTGAGGCCAATGATTTACTGCTCATTTCATCCAGTATCTCTGGCTATGGCACCCTTTTGTGAACACCTAAAAATCAAAGAAAAAGTGAACCATCCAACAAAGTTTAATTCTGCAAATACTCCTTGGAAATTGGAATTTGTGAGCTGGAAAGGAATTGGGAGAGAGGTAAGCTTGTTACACCAACCTCGTGTGATATTCCTGTCCTTAGTATAAACATTTGAGATGCTGTTCACACTATGTCCTTCACTTGGTTTTTCACAGGGTTCCGTGCCTCTAGTTATGTGGGTGATACCACTAGTGGCAAATTTGGTAGGTTACCAACATTCCTGGCTGCAAAGCTCAGATCTTTCCACTGAACAGCCCTTCACCTGGCTGCCAAGGAGGCCCTTTCCTGAGAACAGAGGTGAAAGCACACAGACACTCTGCATCTCCTCATCACACTGGATGGCTGAAATGCCCAAAATGCATGCAACATTCCACTTGCATCAGACAAATATTTATGGCAAATTCAGTTCCTTCAGTGATCTGATGAAAACAAATCTACCACTCCTGTGCACATTGTTGCTTATGCATTATGCCACAGGTCTGGGGAGATTTCATGTTCTACATGTTTTATTGAATCAAATCACTACTGAACTGGCACCAGCTGTACCCCTCATGTCCTCAGAGCACAGGAATGTCCTGAGTGGGATGGTGTCACAGCATTTCTGAGAATGGATGCAGGTCACTGCAGTGACAGGAAACACCTTCCCAAAGGTGCAGACTCCCAGAGCAGTCTTCAGTTGCTCTTGTTTACGATGACATAGGATCTTTGCTCATGACTATAAAAGACAGTTCCTCTACCTCATGCTGTTAGTTATAAAACCAGTCACAGGCCCACATAATCCCAACCCAGCAGATGCTGTGTTAACAAGATGACAATTACTAATTAGAAGCAGCATTACTTGCCAACAGGCAAAGGAACCACACATACACAAAAACCCCCAAAACAGCATGAAAAACTGTGGCAATAATCTGATAAATTCTGTTACCTGAGAACTAGGCACAAGGGCTTTCCACCAGTGTCCACCTTTCACAAGGTCGACATCGCTCAAGGGCATTGACACTTTGCCAATAACACAATGGCGTGAGAATTTGTCAAAATCCACTACAGTTAAAAGCAGAGTTCTTCTCTGGGCTTCTAAAAAGGGGATTTCAAATGTGTACCTCTCCTCAAACACTGGGTTCTGTGTTTTGCGTTTCACTCCTGTCTGCTTGGAGTTCTTCTGGTCAGGAAGGAGGCAGATCTTCACATAGGGGTTGGAGTGAGCCATGTCTTGCCTTGAACCATCATAAGAAATTGGAGGAGGCAGATCTTTGGCCTCAATGACTCGCACTATTAGATAATTATGCAACAGATCATACTGTGTGCTAAAATGCAGCATGCCCAGCTGGTACTTGGACAAGATCTCCTCATCTGTCAAGGAGTCCATGTCATCACTGTTTGAGTCAAGAGAGTACAGCCTTGGTTCAAATTTTCTAAAATAGTCATCTGGGGTGTAGGTTTTTCGCAGGATAGTTGGCTGAACTATTTCTTTCTTAGCTCCTATTATTCCAAACTCGATGGGTTTGATGTCAATTAGTGGAGAACTCGGCCTCCTCGACTCCAGACCTGAATGAGAGAAACACACAAATGTGATTTTTAGAAAGTTCACTACAGCAACTAAAGGTGCACTTCAGCTTTGGATACAGCTATTCTGTGTCAGTGCAATGCCAGCACAGCTCCACAGTGGGGCTTTTCCCCCTTGCACTGCCAATAATTAACAGCATCCTCAGCTATGCTGAAGCACAAGCTGGCCTGCACTTCTCCCTCCCTGTCCATCTGCACGTGCCATTTCCATGCTCATGCTTCAGCAAGAAAAGCAGGGCTGGCCCCTTCCACTGCACTCCTGCAAAACAGGATGAGATTTTAATCAATGTGCCTTTAACATGACTTGGTTCTCTGTCTAAAAGATGAAAGAGCAAGCACTAGAGTTTGATTTTCTCCCCCACAAGAATCACATTAAGGTTGGAAGGACGACCTTACTTGAGATGCGCCGCGTGAGGCTGTAAGTGGACCGTGATGTATCTGACGAGGAGCGCCTTCTGTCAGGGGAAACATCCTGAAGAGTGGGAGGCAGCTCGCTGATTGTATTATCAGAGTCTCCATCTTTGTCCTCATTTTGGCTGCTTATCCTGTTGTAATGAGAGACCTTCGGATGATTCAACCCAGTACTAGGAGTATATACAGAATAACAATGTGTTCTGGCATTCTGGGGTTAATCTTGGTGCTCGTCACTCGATGCTGTGGGATATCTCCTGATCTATCTGGCAAGCAAAAAGCTGAGCAACTGACTTCAAACCTATGTAAAAAACAGATTCTTCACCTTTCTGCCTGTCTTTCAAACAGAATTTTATCGGTATTAGAGCATGACAGGCACATAAAACTCAGATGTTGATCAGAAATATTATACTTCTCTCTAAGGAAAAAAAATCAAACCAAAACCCTCAAACATTAGCCTCCTGCTGTAATTCACAGCTACACTTTGGAAGCACAGATTTCACTAGGAATGAACAAGCACAGAAAATCACCATGCTCAGATATAAACCTACCACACACCTCCTGATAAGATATTGCAGGTTTGCCAGTAAAATTTCAAAACTTCATCTTACAGACACAATTCATTATTGGCTATTTATTGGCATGCCTTTTTAAATATTTGGCTGCTTTTATCCACTTCTACAAGCCAGATGTTATTCTCAGCAGACAATAATTTTACTGCCCAGGGATCTTGATGGGAGCAGGGAAGTTGGTGATGCCTGGAAAGACTGACCTGGAACAGAGACTGGGCAGAGCAAAAGGAATAAAACAGGAATTTATTGAAAGGACACACCTTGGGCAGCCTGGCCAGGGCTACACCCAAATCAAATCCAAGATGGATCCTGGTCACGAGTTTTTACACTTTTATAAGTTTTGGTTCATTTACATCTGGCGGTCAATTGTCCAAGCACAGCCCCAGGCTATGAAGTCTCAGCCCCTGCCTTGCCCCCTCTCCCTCGCCATTGTTTCTGATTTTTGGGTACCAGGTGTCTTTGATTCTCCAGCTGGGAAGGGATTGCTTTGTCCAACCACCCTGTGAAGAGAATTTACTAACACCTAATATGAAGCTGCAGAGTAACACACCAAGCTGCAGAGAATCTGAAAAACATAAAAGCTAAAATCAAAGGCATCATTTCCCCCCTAGGGCAGGACCTAAATGACAAAGCAAGTTTTGTAGCATCTTTGAGAAGACTCCACAGAAGGTTGGCATCACATAGAAGTCCACATGTAACTCCCCTTTCAGTTTGTTTAAATATATGTACACACAAGTTGTTTTTATATAAAATAACATTTTGGTTAAAAACCCCAGCATGTCACAGCTGCAGAGCTCCTGAAAGGAGTGAGGATCTCCCAAGTTTGAGTGAGAGAAGGGCAGGAGCAGGCAGTAACAACTGCAGGAGGTGAAGTCTGCAGCTGTGTGCTCAGAGGGGAGTGCTGCCCATGGAAATGGAATCACACAATGGGTGCATGACGTGTGGTGCATCCTGCAAAGCAGCCAGGCCACGAGACACAAAATAGCAGCAGATCACAAGGAGAGCATCAGCACACAACGAGCAAACCAAAGGGGAATTCTGTGTGAATATTGCTTCCAAGCCACCCATTCTGTGTGCACAACTCAGCTGGGTATAAATGAAATATATTGAATCATTTCCATTAGTAACCAATGACTGGAGCAGAGCAATTGATATATTCTGCAAAAAGCAGTAAACTTGCAGAAAAACCCAATGAGTATTGAAAAACAAACAAACCCCCAAAACCAACTGGAAATTCTTATCCAAGCCCACAAAATTCACAGCAGGATACATGCAAATTTCACCAAGTCAGACTCACACAACTCATCCACATTAAAAAAAAATTCTGTTAATAATCAAAACCAAACCCTCTGCTAAAAGAGGCGTACAATATTTGCACAGCTCTGCAGCCCATTAAAGGCAGTCCAAACTATACAGTTTGATATATAATCAGTACTTGGAACACAAATAGCTTTTTCATGCCTAAATGCAGGTCCACACAATCACAGGTGGCATTTGGATATGCTTGTGTTTGAGAAGCAAATGCACAGAACAAGGCAGGGTGAAAAGGGAATCAGGAAGAAAGGCATTAAGGATGTTCTACAATGGGTAAACGTAATAGTGAGTTAATAACATACAGATGACCTTTAGTAAGGAAATTGCTACTGAGCCACAATAATTTTTCCTCAAATAAACTTTGGCTCTGGTTAAAGCAGCTCTGTTTCTGCTTAATCCAAACCTTTGGAAAGAGGAGTCGTGTCCTGATTTCAATTCAGTCTCACAGTGTGCACTGTTTATCTTTGGGGTTTGTGTAGAATATTCCATAACAAGCAGCTCAAACATCCACCCTGATTCCCAGGCCCTTTTGCAAGGCCCAAGATGCAAGTGGTCCCCGTGAAATAACAAGAAGTTACCGAGCACTCAGGTCAATGCAACTGGACTCATTGCAGGAAGGTTTTTTTATTTGCTAAGCTGCCACTGCAAAAAAATTCAGAAAGTGAAAAAAATCCATATTCTCCCATGAGGAAGGGCTTGCAGCTTTATCATCTACTCCTGAATTTCCAGGACAATAAGGTGTCTCAGAGCTGCCAAAGGGAAAACCTAGGGCCAAAAATATAAAGGATGGGTCATTAACCACAGGCATGTTTGCTCACTCACCACTGTGGACCATAAAAACAGTTTTCTCCTGGGGAGAGAGTAGGAAGGTGAGGAAGGCACAAAATGCATTCTGCATCACACCAGTGTCTCAGGCCCATGAAGAATAGGCAAGATGGAAAGATCTCAGCTGAAAATGTAGATCTATTTTTAAGATACTTTCAGGTTGCAATCAGGGAATACAATAAATTGATTTGTTCCCAAATTCAATGCATGCATCTAAATGCAAAATAAGGTGACGTCAAACTTGCTTTTCATTGTAGGGGTTTCCACTAAATACAAAAGCCTATCATCAAAAATAGAAGGGAAAAAAAATAAAAAGAAAGGGGATTCAACTGGCATATACAGATCTCTGAGCACTTAAAAACATTGAAGACCTTATTCTAAGAACAAGTCTAAACTCTAATTCTGCTGACACATCTAACTCCAGAGATCATTCTCTATATCCAAAAATGCATATAGAGATATAAAAATATAAGATCAACACAGTGAAAACAGAATTCATTGGTTTCTGAATTCTAAGTCAACATGGGATCATTTCCACCTTAAACATGCACACAAAAAGCTTGGGTGTCCTATTTGTCTCAGCAAACAAAATATACCAAATCTGGCTCCTGCTTTTAATTTTCTTTTCCTCTTCATCTTCCAGACCCTTGTTCCTCCATTTACCCCCCCTCTCCTCTCAATCACATCCCCTTGGGTCCTCTGCTTCTCCCTATCTCCTCTGTTCTCTTTGTCCTCCTCACTTCAGTAATTTCTGTGCTCCCTCACCATTTTCCTGCAAAATCACCCTGGAAGCCCAAAGCATTATGACATTGCACAAAGCATTATCACATTGCCTGGCACCACTCTGAGTCCATGCCAGTTCAAGAGGAGCCCACAGGATTTTCCCCCAAGCAAAGCCTCATCTCCAGCTTATTCATCAATGCGTGTCAGCAGGCATCCTTAGAGATCACAGGTTTGCAATGCTGCCACAGGAGATGGTGACTTCAGTGACCCTAAGGCATTGCAGAGTCCTGGAAAAGCAAAGCTACTTTTATGGACATTCCAAGAAGTTATTGTAGGGGCTTTCAGATGGAGCAGGACCAGGGGAAACAATACAGGCTGGAGAGAGCATTTTACGAGTCCAAAGGTCTCCATGTTCTCTGCCTGTGGCAAAGTCCACCTCATCTGCAAAGCCACCATGCAGCTGAGATTTGACATAATAAGAACAGGGCTGCAGCACTCACATCACCCCTTCAGCCAGACAGAAGAATCCAGCAGTCAAAAACTACACCCTGGCACCATCACTCCACACCCCAAACACACCACTGCTCAGCACACCAGGTAAGCTCTGAATCAGCCTCTCACAAACCCAGCTCCTTGTTCCCAAGACGAAATTGCTCCTGCACCAATCCTTCCACGTCCAATACTGCAACCTCATCACTGTGCTCTCTGTGCGTGATGCTTTCCTATTTAGCATTGATTTTGTTTCCATTCCTCATTAACTGCAGGTGAATCAGTTTCTGAGCATATATCAGACTCTTAAATATGCTGCTCCACATTTAAAAATCACTGTAACACATCTTGAACAGCTCTATTTTTATTGCTTCAGTATTCATTACCATCCTGTTCTACCTGAATTCAAAAGAGTTCTTGGACAAGACTGTGATTTAAACATGAGAAAATTTATTTCATGCAGCACCAAGACATGACACTTCCAGAGCTGACACAGAATAACAGCACATACTCATAGGAGTAGATAAAATGACCTGAGTGCCTCAGTGCCCAGGTACCAAAGTCTGAGCATCACTGAACAGGCCTCTCCTGTGCCATGTCCATCAAATGGTCTGCTCCACAAAGCCAGCCCAGCCCAGCTGACAAGGCAGCCACTAAAACACCAGAAAGCTCTGCTCCATCCTTGGTTTCACTATTGCCTCCACGGGGTCACCTCTGTGCTGCAGATTCCTGGCTGAGAGGGAGTAAGAGGGAAGACTTCACTGACTCCCTTTGTAGTGGATTTGCAAACATACTAATCAGCTCCAGATAAGACTTGGTGCTGTGGTTCTTTCGTGATTTGAGAAGAAATTCTGAAGAGTACTATGGTGATGCAGGAGATCAAGTTCTGCTAAATTAAACTTTAAATGAATTTCCCCTTCAGAGCACATAGGAGCTATGTCTTTCATCTGCCTATATGATAACCACCTTCACGCTAGGGTAAGTATTTCAAAACAACCTCCTCAGCAGTTCAGCCAAATTGAAGTGCTCCAAAGGGTTGGTCCATTTGAACAGGAAATAGGACTGAAGATGAAAGGCATCTCAGGAGAAGGGGGCACAGCTAAACCAGTTGTCAGCTTGTTATGCCATCTTACAAAACAACTTCTGTCTTACCCATCAGAAAAACTTTTTACAAAGACAAACCTTGCTATTTGAGTTAACAGAGCTGCTTTTTTCCACCATGCCAGGAGTAGCCTGCATTCCCACCCTCAGGAATGCTCTCTAAGTGGCATCCTCTTGTCCCACTGCAATTCATACCATCAATCTCACCACAGCTGAGCAGTCCTACTCCTTGGTTAAAGCTAGGAAATCGTGTATCTAAACTTACAGCCAGGCTGGAGTTTGAGCAGGAAAAGGTCCCAGGATTTCAACTTCGTCTTCATTTGTTTGACAACAGCCACAGTCAAAACACTTCTGACAACAATTTCTGCAAGTCCACCGGCACAGCAAGAGATCCGAGATTCGAGCGAGCAGACCCTGGAGCCATTGCAAACCAAAGTACAAGATTACAACCCATCAATAGCTATTGAGAAAAAACACTCAGCTGTATTTGTGTTTGTGTTTCTGCAGCAGAACATTAAGAACTATATTTATTTCATCTATACCAACAGACAAGTGCTATGCAGTTACCAAGCCCAACCCCACTGATACCATAACAAGGCAGGAAAATAAGCATTCTCTGCAGGTATTTTCCCCTCTAGTAGCAATGTATTATTATGTAGGTTGGCAAGATGGTGATTTGCAAAGCACTGTGGCACAACAATATGCTGGAGTGGAAACATGCATATTCCTCCACACACATCAACAATCTAATAGATCAGCAAACATGCAACAGAAGGAATTAAAAACAGAAGGTAAATGAAAGCTTCAATTTAATCCAGCAAGGATCTATTTAATTAGCACAGCTGAACACACTTCATCCCTGTACATGTACCAGTAGTATTTGTACCATCCATACACATGGAGCATTACAGCCCAACAAACTCACCACTAAAATGGATTAGCCAGAGCACACTATCCTCATGCTCCTGCTCTGCTACCATGATTAATTTAATGAAGAACATTCAATCATATTTTTTAGAAGAATAGTTGACCCAGAAAAGTCTTCCATTTCTTAGGTTTCCATGGTGGCCCTGGAAGCATCACTCGTACCAGTGCTGTGCCAGCTCCCCATCGGAGCAGCAGCACCCTGCAGCCCCATTTCCATGCCATCCCCCCTGCCTTCATCCCACTTCAAAGCTTTGAGAGGAGCAGAGAGCCAAACCTCAGCTCATTTCCCACCCACACCAGCCCCAACTTCTGCCCTTCATGGGAGGGCTCACTAAGCAGCACAAAGGCACAGTGGCAGACACGCAGCTCCAAGGGCACAGCACCTGCACCCAGGGTCACACCACTTTACAACTGTATGTGGCCTTGAAATGCTCCTGAGAAACTGAAAAAATAAAGTGTATGAGAGATTCTCCATAGTTATTTCCCCAAAATACTCGAGACATTTGCAGTATTCATGAGTGTGGACCATGCAGATGGGTTTCCTCATAGGAACATGGCTTTTTGCTACTTTTCCATAAACAAAATCTGGGCACTGCAAACCAAAAAATTACCAGCCCAAAATGCAGTACATTACTTATATCTAGGACATCAGTAAAGAGTCAGAAAACACGAGACAATCCCCTCAGGACGGAGCAAGGAGACAGAGCGGGGAGTGAATCATCAGATTAACTCACCTCATTTATTGGTTCCAACTGTCCTTTTAGACATTTAGGATGAAGCAAAGGGGAACAAAATGAAAAAGACAAAAACAAGTTAGCAATGCTCAAACAACTTTAAATTTTCTCCATGACATGCCCCAGCCTGGGATGAGTTTGAATTTCTGGCAAGACAGTACCTTGTAGATGTTAGGGGAAGGAGAGGTCTGACCAGGCATCAGCGTTTGCCATTTCCAGTCCTTCCCTACAAAGCTCCTTCTATTCCTCCTTTCCCACAAGCAAAACTCCCAAACCCATTCTGAAGCATGAAAATCCTGCTCATTGCTCCTTGCTAATGGGTATCACATGCAACCACTTATTTTGTTTCCTTTAGTAACCTGCTTCTAATTGCAGCAACTACTTGCTACTGACAGTAAACCATATCCAAATTTTTCAGTGGAAAAAAAGGCTTTCCTCCACATTCAGCCTCTATCAACACAGTTCCAATGCCAACTCCTTAAAGCAACATTTCTAGGATGGGGTACAGGCTGAATATTCTCCATTACACACACATCTCTGGGCACCTTCAGCCTCATGGAAGAACACAAAGGATAGAAGTTAAAGGTTGGAGTCCCATACTCCCATGCAAAAATCTGCACTGCAGCCACCTCCCCCAAGCCACAGAGAAAATCTACAGCAAAGGAAGAAGGCATCACAAACCAGTTTTTTATTCACAAAGCCACCCTTGGAACATTTTATATATATATATAATGGATCCATTTCCTTTGGAGGTTCACTAGCGTTTCTGATACCTACTGAAATGTCTTACCTATTGCATTCGCTTGATAATGTCTAAAAGTTTCCTATTTGTCCCGGCTGTCTTTGTCTGTGGAGAATCTCTAAAATAAACCCCAAATCAATACAAAACCACAGAACAAAACAATACCAAAAAACCCACAACCCCCCAAAAAAAAACAAAACCAAAAAACCCACAAAAAACTCCATCCTACTGTTGCAAATGTAGAAACTGGTTCTAGCTTTACATTCATGACATGACACCAGCAGCCTTTTCTAAAGAATATGCAGGGATGCAAAAGTCGCCTTTAGTTCCAAGAACTCTCCTATGGACCCCGTTTTGGTGCAAACCTTCCTTTTAAACTCCTTGGAAGCCAGCACTTGTTAGGAGCAGCTAAAAAACTAGAAGAGCTACAGTGCAATGAGACAAGAAAGTGATTACAGATACCCATGGGCCAACTCTTTAAGAAAATGCTAAATGGTTAAAAGGGCTTTTTCATTCCTTATTAATACAAAGTTGCAGCCAAAGCTACAGCGGTTTAGCAGAGCTGCAAGGAGGATATTTAAATGCTCTGAAACAAAGCGGCTGGATCGGTGCCACACGATCGAAGGCTGGAGCACATGCCATGCAAAGAGAGGGCTTTTCCAAAGGCCCACAGGGACACAGGCAGGCTCACATCGAACAGCCCTCCTGGCCACCGTCAGTCACAGCCATGTGAAGCCAGCCCTGTGTGCCACCAGCCCCGAGGGCACACACAGGCATCCCACAGCAGCGACAGAGCGAGCCTGTGACCACCCACAAATGGGAGGGCAGGGATCAGAACGGAATATCAGAGTGCTGACGAGGTAAACAAGTCAACAGCACCATTTAGGGCTGAAATGCAGGGGCCCATGAAAGGAAAGCAAACACGACCACCTGTCCACCCACCTCGCTCACAGCAGGCGGGAGGGGCAGGGGTCTGGGGAGGGGCAGGGGTCTGGGGAAGGGAAGGGGTTTGGGGAAGGGAAGGGGTTTGGGGAAGGGAAGGCTGCACCAGCTGGGGGATCCCCGCGAGCACAGCGGCTGCGATGGGCTCAGCAACCCCTGGAGAAGGGCTCAGCCATCCTGCTCTGCCACGTCATCCCAATTGGCCGGGCAGAGAACAAGGCAGACGGGAGCCTCCAGCCAGGAGTGAACCCTCATCAAGGGCGAGGCTGGGGGCAGGGCTCCATCTCCACAACCTGCTGCAGACACCCTGGCTGGGGGTTACCTGCTGCACGTTAGCAGAGCCGCCAATTCCAGCCAGGTCCTCAGACCAGTGACAACAAACCCCCGTGGCAGCATCCCCAGGGATGCTGCAACAGGGTGGGGTCCTCACCGGTCACTGACCGCGTTTTGCCCCCGCAGTTACACTCCAGGAAAGGCTCACAAGCTCCATCGGCAGTGGACACCGCAGCCTGGGGACAGTGAGGTCCCCTCAGCCACAAATCCCCCACCATCCCACCATGACTGAGACGCCGGAGTGGGGATAACGGGGTGTTGACGTCCCGCTCCGCACTCGGGTACCCCCACCTTGTACCCATCGGCCCCGACGCCCGTGCTGCTGAAGGCCCGGCCCCACTCGAGACCCCGCCGGGAGCCCCGAGCCCCGCAGGACACCTCGGGCGGGCTCCACCCGCGGCTGTTCCAGCCCGATTCCCGGGGCAGCTCCCGCAGCATCCCCGCTCCCATCCGCCGGGCGCGGCGGCGGCTCAGCCCCGAGCGGGACGGGACCGCGGGGGCACGGCGGGGCGGGCGGAGGGGGACACGGCCCCGCGGGACGGGGGGCACGGGTGGCATCGCTAGCGGGGTCTGTACCAGCGCCCGCCCGGCTGGAGATGCCCCCCCGGCTCGGGTTCATCGCGAACTGGGCGGCTGCGCTCGGGGCAATAGCTGGGAAGCTCAGGGGCTGAACCAGCCCGACAAAAATTCAGCCCCACAATGCTGGGAGAGCCCATCCATCACAGCGCAGCCCAGGGCTCCCCGCAGCCGGACCGTGCCCAGGCTGGGGCGGCCCATCGCATCTCAGCCTGCCCGCGGGGTTCAGCATCCTCCTCCCTCCAAGAAGTCCTTGTGCGAGATCAGGATGGGCTTCCACGTCCCCAGGGCCATCCCGCTCCCCCAGCAAAGAGATGCCCGAGGGCTGCTCGCCAACCCCGCAGGGATCCTCTCCTGCCCCGGTGTCTCGCTAGCAACAGCTGCCGGCCCCGCTCCTGCCCCGGCCCCGCCTGGCCTCTCGCCGGGGGCTGCTGTCGCCTCCGGGAACTCCTCCCCAGAAGTTAACCCGAAGTTGCGCACCCGCACCGGGCACGGAGCGCGGGGGGGGCCCCAGCCGCGGCACCGCACCCGTCCCGCAGACGCCCCGGAGACACCCCCCATCCCGCGGGGATCGCCCCCGGCCCGACGCGCCCCGCACGCACCTGGATGTACGCCATGGCTCCGCGGGGCTCCGCGGGCACCTCCCGCCGCGCGGCCCCAC